TTTATTACCAAATACTTTTAGAAATTAGAAATTATTTTGAAAATATATAATACACACATTGACTTATTTTTATTTTGAATCTTCTAATATCTCCTTACAAATTGATAATCAACACAAATTTTGATGAATTTAGAAATAAGTTTCTTCAAAGATTGGGGCTGATCTATCTCTTGGAGACGATATATACTTTTTTAATGAGTTTTAAGACCAATCATCACAATTATTATCGGAATCATCATCCATAACTCTTCTAAAAAATTCTTATTACCTAGCGAAAGCATTTTTATCAATTAATTATCGATGATTTTCTTAATCTTCAGGATTGAGGGGTATTATGGATTTCTAATAGTTGTCCTCTAGGTTAAAGGCACTAATGATATAAGTATTGTTATTATTTTCTGGTTTATAGCTTGAAACATCTTAACTGGTTGAGTTAAAACTTGATTAATTTGGGTAAAATAAGTGATTTTTGTTCAGTAGATTTTCATACTCATTAAAGTTAAGCGCAGCTGAGATTTAGCTAAAACTCTCAAATATATCAATTGAAGAATGCTTAGTTCTTTTTTAAGGACTGCTTTAGTTACTTAAACTACTATCGGCTTTTCTTTTACCAATTTATGGTTCTTCTAGCTTTAAAAGATTTCTATAGATATCTATGCATTCCACTTTTATTCTGAAGCGGCTTTAAGCCTTTCTGAAGAAGCTTCCTAAATAATGCTAAGAAATTCTTTTTATATTCAAACTTTCAATATTTTCATAAAAGAACTCGTTAAGGTCTTCGTCTTTATTAATATAAGTTTTAAGTTTCATAATTTCTTCTAGGTTTCTTACATACTCATCGTAACATTCCCTTACTTTCAAGAAATATCTACTTATTTGTTCCCTCCAATCTAATAGGTTCAAGCATAACTCTTGGAAATTTTTCATATCTTTCTTATAATGTTAATCCTAAGCATTGCTTGAAGAGTTAGTTATAATAGTCTTTCGCATTATAGTAAGAATCTGGCTTATATAGTTAAAGGTTTTAATGTTTAAAGAACTTGATGTGC